AGGGTTAGGGTTAGGGTTAGGGGGGAGGCGTAGGCGACGCCCTAGACTCGTTAGTGGAGTAGGCGAGGTACGGTCCGGCATATTAGATAGTACCAGGGTACGTTCCGGCAGTACCCTGAGGGAAATAGACCCTATCAGCGATAATTAACATTAATCTTTATTCGTAAACCGGACCTCTATACACCGCATGTAAGAAACTCCTGACTTTACGACGCTTCTGTGAACGGTCTATGAGAAAATGTAATATAAAGACTAATGTTGAGACTCTGAATTCCGTTTTGAAAAACGGGCCCCTGACTAGCAGACACTTTGCACACATGAGAAGTTATTATATTGTCAGACAGGCGACTTCAGGAGCGGGAATCAGAGCTTGTGTAGGCAGCAGAAAAAACATGACCAAGTATTTATTCATTTAATTCATTAATCAAATGAGTTTCTATTCACTCCTGGTTACACAGCCGATATTCTTCATTATCAGTACAAAGGATGAGGAGTGGAACGGACTGAACAAGAAGAAAATAACAAGGAGAGTAACTAGGACAGAGATGTGTGTGGTAACGAACAATAAGACCCGTCCGCGTTCCATCGTCGATGTCACCAACCTTGTCTATGGGATCCATGAAGCCGCGCTGCACCCACTTGGGAATCGTCGTGCGCGCGTGAGCGAATCCCAGCTTCTGTAGGATGTAATCGACTCCGTACGGCTCTATATGTATGTATGTATGTACCTGTATTGCTGTATTATGTAGGTGCTGTGTATGTATCAGGAGTAGATATGTACTCCTGGTATGTATGTATGTACCTGTATTGCTGTATTATGTAGGTGCTGTGATTCACGCGTGGAATATAATAAGATAAGCCATGTTTATACTTACACGAGTTAGAGAAAGATGGATCTTCACCGATAGAAACGCACGTGCATGTGTGTCTGTTACTCCAGTGTTACTTTCCCCTTATTACATGCACTCACTATAACATCACTATTATATATAATATATATTCCCGCCAAGAGCTTTGTCATTAATGCGTCACGGAACCAATGGAAACAAAGCAGCCCACGAGAAAACTGCTTGACATGGTAACCTAGCTTTGGCAGACCTTGGTGTAGAGTTTGGCGCGTATATACACACTGACCAAAGCTGAATCAATATCCCGTTTATACGGAGTGGTACCTGCCAGGCCTATTTCAATAAAAAAAGCCGTCCGTGTTGTTGACTAATAGTGTGTTGTTGAACAGGATAAACAGCAGTTAAGGATTGATCGAAAACTAAACTCAAAACTCCACTCGTAAACACTTCAGTGACGAAGGACGGACGAAGCACGTGTACCCAATAGCACATCCATGCTGTCAGGTCATGGAACGGTTGCTTCATGCTATCTCAGGATATGGAACGGTTCCTTCATGCTATTTCAGGTCATGGAATAGTTCCTCCATGCTACCTCAGGTCATGGAACGGTTCCTTCATGCTATTTCAGGTCATGGAATAGTTCCTCCATGCTACCTCACGTCATGGAACGGTTCCTTCACATCACCGTGGGTAATAGGACGTTTTCTCCGAAGGTTACAGTAGTTGAATCTGATAGAAGGATTCTAACAAGAGCGTATAAAGATCGGCTTGATTCTAATGTAGGCTAATGTAATGAAGTGGACAAAGTAGTGTAAAGTAGTGTAATGCAACGCATTGTCTTGTAATACAACGGAATTTAGTGTCATTTTATTGTAATGTAATGTAGTGTACCTTAATCGAATGTAATGTAATTCAATGTAATTGAATGCAAAGTAATGTTACGTAAAATGTAGTCATGGTTTGTAATTGATCGAGCCATTGAAACGATCAAAACTATTTTGAGATTTCATTCACATTTAATTTATATTTATTTATAAGCGAGCCTAATAAAGTGTCAGGTAACCCCCACACGAGGTATCCTATTGACAATATACAAGGCTGCAATCAAAACCAGAATTTTCATTTGCGTCATATATTTATATACATATATAGCGATAAACATATATATAGACACTAGACATACTAACGATTGCATGT